GGTATAAAACTAGAAAAGTAATGTTAATGGTAGTTTTCCTTCTGTGGTAAGGTTATAGAAGACTTTTTATTCTTTTCTGCATGTCATGAAGATGATTTTTCTTTCCTTTGGGGAGGGTGGTCATAAACAGGTATTGCTTTTTTAATAATTAGAAAAAACAAGGCTATAAAATTTAAATTTTATGTACCCAGAATCCAGGATGGAAAGAACATTGAGAGGAGTCCAATTTGTGACCTTGCCAGTTAGTTCTCAGGCTTTACTTAATTGTAAACTTGATTCCCTCGCTTACTTGGTTGTTGTAAGCTCAGATGAGATGATAAATGCCAAAATGCTTTCTAAACCACGAAGTGCTGTAAAGTTCAGGTATGGGGTTTGATATAAATCTTTTCATTATGAATCTAATTGAAGCCATTATGATCTGCCTGACTGATTTTTGGTGATGCTTTTATATTTTTAGATTTCAGACTTCTTTATCAATATGTATAAAGAAAATGAAGGATTCCTTTCCATCTGAAAGATTGTATCAAAATAGCAGGTAGTTTTTGATTGTGGTAGTGAACATGTCAGAAAGTATCTCAAGGGATAGAATGGTGAATTTTTTAATACATCAAGCTATTTCTTCATTTCTGCCTCAAGAATTCAGTTTCTCCCAGATGCTTCTAGAGCTTTTCTCGTTGACATTTTATTGGATATATCTAGTTTCAGAGAGGCATGTTCTAGTTGATAGGGCATGGGAGATAGTTTTTAACTGCTACTTGTCTTCAGGAGTTCAGAATGTTTTCTGACCATTAAATACCCTGTTTTTGAAAAATATTAAACATAAGAAAATAAAATGTTGATTTAAAGTAGCAACTAGTATAGTTCATACAGTGAAGTTTTGTGTACCTTCTTCCCCTTCCCATCCATGTATGTATACACATATACAAAACTAGAAGAAATTCCATCAAAATATTAGTTCATTATCAGTAATGATTTTACTGGTAAGGATTTCACTTGCTGCTTTTTATTGTTTTCTTTAACAAGCATATGTTATTTATATCATCAGGAATAAAAATTCATTTTAAAGGGTGAGTATTATTTAATCACAATTGTGTTCAAAGTAATTAATAATTAACTCAGATCTCAATTCAGATTTTTCTAAGTTAGTTTAATGATGTGTTGATTCTCTGTAAATTTGTTGGGTGAATGAACCTCTTTGTGGCCAGAACTGGAGTTAAATGAAAAAGGCTTTATAATTGTTGTCTTTATTTGTTCAGTTGTTTTCCAGGTGTTAATGCTGAATTTACCCTTGTCTTACTGGTTCTTGTTTCTTACCACATTGTTTTTAGGTTATATCAGTTGCATTCTCAAAAGACTTGAAGGTTTATTTTTCTTTGGTGTGGGATAACCTAATTGCTAATAATAGGCTTTATATCAAGAGCCCTTGGCTTGTTTTGCTTAATTTTACTCAATCTCACAAATAGTTTTTTCCCCACCAAAATAAATATTGAAATAGAGAGGAATGAGATATGTTTGTTAATCTGAATGAATGAACTGTCAGTTGAGTCAAGTGGGAAGGAATGATGTAGGGGAAAATGAACTAAAATGAGATTTTAGACTTAAATCTGCTTGTTATTTATATGTTGCCTGATAATCATAACAGATTAGCTGATTTTGGCTTTGTTAGACTTTGGTGTGATAATGTTAGATTTGATAGAGAAGTGTGAAGTTAGGTTGGTTTTATACTCTCCAACCCTCCTTTTTTGTTTTCTGTTAAAATTTTCATACTTAATATTTAGCACTTTTTTGGGGGGGGGGTAATGTTCAAACGTGTGAAAAAGTAGAGAGGAAAGGTAATGAATTCTTTTGGACCCGTCACTCACCTTCCTCAACAAATATTTTTGCTAGTTGTGCTTCATCAAATTTCCCTCACCCACTAAACACCACACTTCACCCCTGCCAAAGTGCATCCTTTGTTTTCTAGATTATTTTAATGAAGATCCCAAATTCTTCGTTGCACTTGTTAGGTACAGTAACATTTGATTCTTTAAATGCTGGTGCATCAGTGAACCTCTGTGTATAACTATAGATTTTCAGTATATAATAATCAAGGAAAAAGGGTTTAGTTGGGGGTTGGGGAGCTTACCTTTTTCTAATCTTTTTGCATTTTTGAGTTTTTTCAAAAAGACATTTCCATTATTATAAATTAATTGCTTCAAAACATTTTTTATAAAGCACAGTTAATTTTGGTGATTGCTTTTATTTTTGAACTTCCAGAACACCTGTTATATCGTAGTTCTTCCAGGATGGGTCTTGTTTTCTGAAGATTTAACTCTGTTCTTCTTCTGAATCTGTTAGGATAGAGGTTGTATGTGAAAGGAGTTAGAAATTATTTTTATGATTTCTGCTTTTGCTCATCTCTTAACCCCCTGCCCCAAATTTAACTCCCCTCTGCTTTGCAAAGATTAAAAAATACTGGTGCTTAGGAGTGTAATTTATGTGCCTGAAAGGCCCCTGCTTAATGGAGTGAGGGGAGGGAGAGTGAAACTAACGTTTATTGGGCAGCTCCTTTATTTAGACATTATACATATTTATATTTCATATAACTTAGTCCTTAACAGTAATCCAGAGAGGAAGATACTTTCCCATTTTACTCATGAGAAAACTTATGGTCTGGAGGTTAAGTAGCTTGTCCAAGACCTTAATAGTAAGTGGTGAACCTTGCAGAATTCAAACCCTTCTCATCTGACATACATTATTATCTTAGAGATGAATTTGAATATTGCATGAATACTGCATTTATTACACTTACAGCTGAAAGTGTGCCATTGTTCAGTTGCTAAATTGTGTCCAACTCTTTGTGACCCTATGGACTGCAGCGTGCCAGTCTCCCCTGTCCTTCACTGTCTCCTGGAGTTTGCTCACACTCATGTCCTTTGAGGTGATGATGCTATCCAGCCATCTTGTTGTCTGTCATCCCCTTCTCTTCTCACTGGAGTGGGTAACCATTCCCTTCTCTGGGGGATCTTCCTGACTCAGGGATTGAACCCAGGTCTCCTGCATTGCAGATGGATTCTTTACCATCTAAGCCACCAGAGAAGCCCAAAGTGTGCCATAGGAAATCCGCAGAGAGGTGCTTGTGGGGTGTGACTTTGAAACAATCTTGAAGAGTGAGTTTGGTTCAGAGCTAGGGGTGTTCTAGGTAGTACAGTATGAATAAAGTGTGGAAGCAATAATGTTGAAAGTGGTCAGGAGATTGCAAATAGACCCATTTGGCTGTAGCATACATTTTAAAATTTAATTTTACGTATTTTTGGCTGTGCTGGGTCTTTGTTGCTGTGCTGGCTTTTCTCTAGTTGTGGCAAGTGGGGGCTCTTCATTGTGGTGTGTGGGCTTCTCATTGCGGTGCCCTCTCATGGAGCATGGACTCTAGGTGTGCGGGCTTCAGTAGGTGTGGCAGATGGGCTCAGGAGTTGCGGTGCACAGGCTTAGTTGCTCCACAGCACAGAATCAGTCCAGAGTCTCCTGCATTGGCAGATGGAGTCTTTACCACCAGTCAAGTCCCTGTAGCAGAAATTTTTCTTTAAGTATTATTGGCTAGTAAAATGTGAAAGGTAGATTGAGATTAGATTATATACTAAATGCCAGGTTGACAAGTTTGGACACTATCTTGCAGGTAGCAATAAAGTGGTGAAGGTTTTTATGTAGAGGAGTGATAATGAAAGAAATGCTTTAAGGATATTAGTAATGACAAAAGGAATTGGGATGAAGGGCAGCAGTGGTGAGAGTGATGAGAGCTTGCAGTAGGGTTGTGATGATGGTGAAAGGAAAAAGAAAATTCTATATTAGAGATTTTGACAGGAATACATAGAATTTTATAGTTAAAAAAGTTAGTTTAAAATGAAGAATAAGATGCTTTTGAGCCTCTGTAACTGAAGGAATTGGTGTAGATAACAGTATTGAAAATGGATAGTTTGGGAGAAAATTCCAAAGTCAGTAAAAACAGTAGCTAAAATTAGGCATAAGGGAGAGGGGTTCTGGACAAGTATTTGTTTCCTCCTGTCTTCATAGATAATTCTATTAAATAGTCCTGGAGTTACTGAATATTCACATGTCTTAACTGAAGCTACATTTTGTCTTGGGCCAGAATACTATAGCTTTGTTAGAAACATGCAGTTGATAAATTTAATTAGTTTTAAATTTTTAAATCATCCCAGCAGTCTCTTTCATCTTATTACAATATTTAGAAACCTTAACCTAGGCTCTTCTACATTTTCTAAAATTTGATAAACGCATGTTGAGTAAGACCTTGTTATCTGAAATCTCTCTTCTCCCAATTTCCTCAAAACTCTAGAAGATACCCATCCTGTGAAGCTCAACTCAGGTATTCTTGACTTCTTCCAGAAATAAATCCATTCCTGATGCTCTTCAGCATTGTTGTAATAATGACACACTCTTTATTTTGTTTTTCTTGTTAGATTGCTTGCACTTTGCCTATAGGAATCATGTTTTACTTGGCTTGAATACTTCATAATGACTGTCATATTAGACAAAAATTTTTAATAAAGTGAATGAATAATTCTGAACTCATTCCTTTCCACTAAAATCAAAAGGGCCGGGGGTGGGGTTGGGGGGAGATCTTTGGTGATAAACAACAACTGAGAACTTACGACCACAGCAACTGAATGTATATTTTCACCCCATCCCCCAATGGCATGCAGGATTTCGACACTTCTAAGAAGTTTTAAAAGGAGTTGTAATTGCCGCTCTGCACCTAGGACAGCACCCAGCGCAGCATAGTGTACAGGAACTCTGTCTTGTGGTTTGGGGTTTATATTCTGGATTCAGGAAAGAAGAGCAAGTTTTGGGGAAAGTTTAAAATCCTCATAAACACTCTAAAAATGTATGAAATGCAGAATGGTTTCATGGCTTTGTTTCAAAATGTTTTACACTGGCTGTAGAACCCACTTCATGAAGTAGTTTGAGTTAAAATGATCTAATATTTGTGTTTTAACTTTCAGCTTTGTGTTATTCTTGGAAAATTTCGCACCACTTGTGAATTCCTTGAACCTGGGCATTGCAAACCCACTTCTGTTGGGCCCATCTCCTTTGCACTTTGCTCAGATTAAGACTCAGTTGGCGCTGCAGCAGCTGAATGCCATTGCCTCACATAGTTCAACACCACCTTATACTTTATTAAATCAGGCTTTCTTGAAAATAGCCATGTCGAGACCCAGGTTTAATCCTCGAGGAAACTTTCCACTTCAGAGGCCACGAGCACCTAACCCTTCTGAGATGAGGCCTCCAGGACCATTTATGAGGCCTGGATCTATGGGTCTTCCAAGATTTTACCCAGCAGGGAGAGCCCGTGGAATTCCACACAGATTTGCCTGCCATGAATCTTATCAGAATATGGAACCACAGAGAATGAATGTTCAGGTAACTCAACACCAAACTGATCCAAGATTGACCAAAGAAAAATTGGATTTTCATGAAGCACAACAAAAGAAGGAGAAGCCTCATGGTAGCCGATGGGATGATGAGCCTCATATATCTGCATCAGTGGGAGTGAAGCAGAGTTCTGTAACGCAGGTTACAGAGCAGAGTCCTAAAGTACAGAGCCGCTATACAAAAGAGAGTGCCTCAAGTATCTTAGCAAGTTTTGGATTATCTAATGAAGACTTAGAAGAACTCAGTCGCTATCCTGATGAACAGCTAACTCCTGAAAATATGCCATTAATCTTGAGGGATATAAGAATGCGAAAAATGGGGCGCCGATTACCTAATTTACCTTCTCGGAGCAGAAATAAAGAAACACTTGGTAATGAGGCAGTTTCGAGTAATGTGATTGATTATGGGCACGCAAGCAAATATGGCTACACAGAAGATCCACTTGAAGTACGTATTTATGATCCTGAAATTCCAACTGATGAGGTCGAGGATGAATTTCGGTCACAGCCAAGCATTTCTGCATCTGTTCCTGCTCCAAATGTGATGTGTAATTCTATGTTTCCTGTTGAAGATGTGTTTCGACAGATGGACTTCCCCAGTGAGTCCTCCAATAATCAGTCCTTTTTCCCAGTTGAGAGTGGAAGCAAGATGTCAGGTTTACACATTTCAAGAGGACAGTCAGTCCTTGAACCTGTAAAATCTGTCAGCCAATCCATTAGCCAGACAGTTAATCAGACAATGAGTCAGTCTCTGATTCCTCCTTCTATGAACCAGCAACCTTTTTCATCGGAATTAATTTCAACTGTAAGCCAACAAGAGCGGATCCCACGTGAACCTGTCATTAATTCATCTAATGTACATGGATCAGGAGGAAGTAAAAAGAATTACCAGTCAGAGGCTGACATCCCCATTCAGTCTCCCTTTGGGATTGTGAAAGCTTCGTGGCTACCAAAGTTTTCGCATGCTGATGCCCAGAAGATGAAGAGACTTCCAACTCCTTCTATGATGAATGATTATTATGCAGCATCTCCAAGAATATTTCCACATTTGTGTTCTCTGTGTAACGTAGAATGTAGTCATTTGAAGGTGAGTGTTTTTAAAGATCACTGTATCATGATAACTCAGTGCCCAAGTTTCATCTAAATTCTCATATGTATGCTGGTGTTAACTAGTCATTAAGGAAATGGCAGAAATTTTGATTGCACTGTCAACACTTAGTTGTAATCTAAGTATTGAATTGAGTGTTAGGCTTTCTGTATTCCTGTGACTGGGCACACCACATGGATTTTTCCATTTATTTTGAACTTTTGAGAGGTTATCCCAGACAATGCCACATAAAATTTATATGACACAAACTGTACTTATAAGACAATGTCACATGAGTTAACCTTTATCTGAATAAGAGAATCTGTTAGTATAAAAATAAAAACTTGGAATAAAATATTTGTACTGCACACTTTTAAAGAGACAGTATATTATAGCCTTGCATGTATCTGCCTGTCTTGAGCTAAAGATAGTTAATGTTGATTTAAATATTTTCTGACTCTATTATTCTTATCTGGATTTTTAGTGCTTCATGAGAAGGAGCTTCCTAAGATAATTAAATCCATACCATAGCAAAATTGAGTTAGGATGAATTATTGGGACCAGCTGTGGGCACAGAGCATAGAGTGTAAAATGATCTTTAGAGAGAAGAGTCTTTAAAAAACAAAGAAGCTTTAGGTGTCTTCATGGTTAGGAGAGTTAGAATGAAATGTTTTACTGAGGTCCCGAAGACTAACATAGAATATATTGTTTGATAGTAATCACTGATGGATTTGAGTAGAATTTTCTGAATATGTTTTATTTACTATATATGTTTGGAAACTGCTGTTTCTTCGATTTACTAATGTGATTTGAAGATGTGACCTGGAAGGAATGTATTGCAGTATTTGCTATGGGAACAAGCTATGACTCAAGGCTGTAGCATTGATTGTATACTTTAATAGGCTTAAGAGTCTATAGGTGTTTGTTCCCTTGTTTTTTCTTTTTCTCTTTCCAGTATTGTCCTTTTATTGTCTTTCTGTTACCCACTCACCAGGTTTCAGCCAACAAGAATCTGATACCTGGAACTGATGCTTCTGTCAGAAACGTTATTGAAAGCAAAGGAAGTCAGCATTCTACCTCATTTTAGCCAGATTTTCTGAGTGCTAATAATAATTGCCTTGCTCTATCAAAGGGAATAGCAAAGTCTTAAAAAATCTCAGCACTTAGTTAAAATCTAGTAGCCCTGGCCCAAGTACTGAATTGAATGTTAGCCCCTCTGTGTTCCATTTTTTTTGAACTTTAGTTAGTCATGATGAATCTAAGAGAAAATAATATCTTACACATTTTAATTTTTATTCTGTTGAATAGAAAATACATTCAGTAAGTAACTATTTACTGGTTACTGGTTTTGTACATGATGCTACATTAGGTGCTGGAATGAAAATAAACTATATAAAGTTTACATGTTGTTCTTAAGCAGTTTATATAGTGTCGCTGAGGAGGAAAATTAACACACCTAAGGAATTTTTTAAAAATTAGAAGGCAGCAAATAGTTTGGTGATTGTAATTGACTTATTTGGATAGGCTATAGGGGGAGAGAGATTTAATATTTCTATCTTGATTGCAGACTTGTATCAGTTTAGGTCAGCATTATCAACTTACCAATACTTATTGTGTATTTCACAGTGTGTAATTAAAAATTATACTTTCTGGCATCAGAAGACTTCTATACTCCAGTTAGATAAGACTTGTTGAGTGACTAGGTGCACTAAGTCTGTCTGGACTAAAGTGATCTGGGAGGGAAGACCTCATGGAGTAGGTTGAAGGTGGTTCTTGAATGATGAGTAGACTTAGATGTACCCAGGGGAAGAGGGATGACATTTCAGATAGGAGTAACAATGATAAGTTTGAGGGGCCTAGAAAAACTAGCCCAGGGAGTTTAGATGTGAAATGAGAGTCATTAAGAAGCTAATTAAGATTCTTGATACGTGAAATGACACATTAAAAAATATATTTCAGGAAGATAAATCTGACTGATGTGTGCAAGATGAACAGGAGTGAAGAGAGATAGGGTAGGACACCTAATTTGAGGCTTCCCTAGTTATTCAAGTGTGTGTTGGTGACAGTATGGATTAATATGATAAAAATATAATAAAAATCTGACCCAGGGATCAAACCTGAGTCTCCTGCACTGCACGAAGATTCTTTACCGTCTGAGCCCCCAGGGAAGCCTTTAATATGATAAAGGGACATTAAACATTAAAAGAAATCATTTAATGATTATTAGAGTTCATAGAAATTGATTGCCTTTTTAAATGAACAGGTACCTTTTAACAGTCGGAACAGCACAATGAACCTAACTAATGAATTCTCTACTAGATGACAAATGATAGGGATTTGTGAACATGGACTTAGGTAGTATAACTTAACTCTCTTGTTTCTCTGATGTATTTTGCTGCCCTGTAAGTGTGCATGTATTTGACATTATAAATGTGTAACCAATAAATATAAATTACCAACTGCACTTTTTTCTTGCTAAGTAACAGCTAACAATGTTAACTACCCGAGTCAAAACTACAGTCTGAAAGAGACAAGAAAATGAGAAATTTTTTTTTTTTGTAAATTGAGTTTCAGACATCAGAGAAGTCATGCTTAGTTTAGAAGTTACATCTTTTTGACTGTCACAGTTGGTTTAGAAAAGCCATGTCTTTCTGACTGAAATAATTCAGTTCAAAAAAATACTGACATAAATGGTTTTTTAAAGTAGTTGGTAGATAAGAGAGTGATATGGGTAGGTGTTTTCACAGTTGGATTCTGGGTCCACTCAAGTCTACAGTTCTTGCAGCATCTCCTGCCTAGTAGGTAATTATCACTCTTTCTCGGGAGAGAAGCCCTGCTTTTGGACCCTTGTCTTATTGGAGAGTAGAAATTGGGGTGGTGTAGATTTATTTATTGAACCTAAAAGTGAGGAATGTCAGTAAAGTGGATGTGTGTGTGTGTGTGTGTGTGTGTAGAACTGGACAGAGTATGCCTTAAATAACTTTTAGCTGTCAGCATTAGCTGATAGTTGCTATGTCAAATACATATCTAGTACTAATTATATCTTCATGTTTTTTCAAGAAAAGCTGAAAGTCTGGATTTATATGTTGGCAACTTACTCAAATAAAACACTTTGTGGTCTGATTAAATCATGCTCAATTTGGTACCTGTCAGTGTGTCTAATGTAAACAATATTTAGTTACTATCAAAGACATGGGTTTAGCAGTACTAAAGACTCTTAACTGCCAGTCTCTTCTAGCTTTCTATTTCCCTGAGCAGGGTATGCAGACTTTATTTTTTGTAATCCACAGTCAGTTCCATGGCTTAAGGAAATACTTCAGGGTTTGTCATAACCTGCTGCTGAATATTGCAAGTAGCATGCACTTGTTTTCAGATAGTTCTTGACAAGGCAGAGTCCAAAATTAGTGTCAGCTGTGGTTTTTAATTGGATAGTTCTAGTCCGTCTTTGGCAATGACAAACTAAAATGTTTTTGAGATGGAAATGAGTAACATTTTCCTCAAGAAAGTTTTAAAATATGGAAGGAACTGTTCAGTAACTTTTCTGCCTGTCCGAATATTGGAGACACAATAAAACATTACTCACACTGTGCTTTTTAACTAATTGTTTCACTTGGGGGACTCTCTTTGAAAATTGTATTGCCTTAAAAAAAAAATCAGATGTATCTTCCAGGAGCTTTTTATGCGTGCAAAATATAATTTTAGGGCAGCTTTGTGAGTTAAGTTAAATGAGAAAGCATTTTGTTCATTGTAAAGCTCTATGTGTAAGGCATAGTATGTCTTTGGAATGATACTGCTTTCCACTATATCCTGATAATAAACGTTTTGATCAGCATTTTTTCATATTTTTACTAATCTTATCCTTTGTCAGTACTAGTGAGTACCTTGTTTGGAATGGTATTGGCCTAAGAGGTAGGATTTTTTGTTGTTAATGTTGTTAGCTTGAAGTTTAAAGTTGTAAGGCATCGAGACTATTTTGGAGATGCCATTTCAAATAGCATTCTATTTATAGAGTTCTTGATACTCTCTATAGTGTGTTTTTTTTTTTTAATATTTGAGATGAGTTATTTCTCATCCATGCTTTTATTTTCTCCAAGTTTAAATGTATGTTTGGCATCAAAATGAGTATCCATGGGTAGGATTTTTAAAATGTTTTCTATAGCTAAAATGTTTTAAAATGGCATCAATGAATTGATAGTAAGTGCTTTTGATTGGAATCTTTTTATTTGTCAAATTTTTATTGAGTAGCCTAACTAGGTTTGTTTAATTTTTGAAAAAACAAAGGATGCTGTGTTATGTTAAAAAGCCTAATGTCATTAGTCAAATGAGGAATGTTCTAATTTGTGCACTTTTCTCCTTTTACAATAGGATTGGATTCAGCATCAAAATACATCTACTCATATTGAGAGTTGCCGACAGTTACGTCAACAGTAAGAACAATTTTTTTCATTCTTATAGGTAGCAAATTTACAGAATAGTTAAATGTTTCAGGTATGATTGTTTGATACCTTTAGTGTGGTACTTTGGAGAAAAATATTTTTAGAAAGCTATTGCTTATTTGAAATACTAATATTATACAAATATATTTAAACTTTTTCTAAAAGGAATGAATTAAATATGATCTTTTTTTTCTGACTCCTTCCCAGTACGTAAATTTAATAACAGTTGGTTCATTCCTGCTGCCTTGCCTTCCTTGGAATGGTTTATCTGTTTCAGAACACATAGCCTTCCCTTCTCCTATACTTCCCTCTCTTTCTTCCCACCCTTTCCTCAAAGGATAACTAACTAAAAACCACTCAAACCAAACAACACTAGTATTTAATTTCAGGTCTAAATCTCTCTTGGTTTAGAACCTATTTTAAAAAGAAACCCTTAAGTAGGAGATGAACAAGCTAGATACGGTGCTTCCTAACCATTGGTTCTTCAGTTCTTTCACCTTTTCCTTCTTTAAGACAGGGCACCTATGAAGGTAAATAATGTGTTTTTTCTCTTATATTGTCTGGAATTACATAAAATTGTGTTCCCCTAGGATTGTTAAACATGCTGATTCAGTTCTGTGTCAAATTCCTGGTCATTATCCTCATGATAGTAGCATGTTCTTGAGCAAATGAATTTGTGACAGCTGTTTTGGTTTTTTGCATTGTTCTTTATGAAAATGTCCCCAAAATTTTTTTGAGATTATTCATGACTCTCCTAATCATACATGATAAACCTTACTCAGACTAATTTTTTAAAGTAAGGAAATTTATTAGCTCATTTAACTAGGAAGCTTGAGTGTTTCTAGTTTCAGGAAGATCTGGATTAGGTGCTCAAACAAAAATCAAAGTGTCAGTAATACTTTCATTTCTTGTCTGTTCCTTTTCCTCTTTGTCCTCATGAGGACACTTCTCCACAAAGCAAAGTGACCCCCTTAGTTCCAGACTTAAGTGCTCTGAATATCTACCATTCCTGGAGTTAAAAAATAAAGCACTTCTTTTCTCATAAATTCTGCGGAAATGTTTGGTTTGAGCCTTTTGGACTACTGTGGGTTAGTTGTCCCTCTCTAAACCAGCTACAGCGGTTGCGGGAACAGGGCCCCATAGCTCAGTCGGCGCCTTGTGCCTGCGCCTGATGCACAGTGCGATGCAAGCCCTTCCTGTGTCACGCAGGCTGCGAGCAGTGGGAGAGCCACCTGCCTCTGCGGATCTGCGGCGCAGACGGCGGTTGGCATATGCAGATCGTTTGTTACTTGGACTGGACCTTACTGCCCCTGTAGATGGAAATCTCTCCTAAAGTCACAAAATTTCCCACAGAAACCCAGTGGGAGGTCTCATTTTTATGAAACTAGGGGATTTAGATGGGAGGGAATTAGTTGCTGTAGGTAGGCATTAAATGCAAGTTACAGGAGTCTAGCTACATGCACTGCCATTAATTTTCTACGCCAAATGGCATTTATGCCTACTGAAAGCTTTTTGTGTAGATAGATCTTTTTTTCATGTACATAGCAACCTGATTTTAAAGCATGTAGTTTCCATGCCTGCTACTTTGTTGCACTGTTTTACATTTTTACCTTTTTCAGGTACTCTTGAATAATTTCTTCATGGCTTTCTCTCTACTGCTCAAAAATTAACTAATGCGTTAGATTTGATTAGCTACTTTGGATCTTTCCAAGACAAAACATGCTATTTCATTCTTTTTTTATAAGCAGCATTGTGCTTCTGTACTTAAATCTGTTTAGTCATTCCTTTACTGATGTATGTGTGAATGCTCAGTTGTGTCTGACTCTTTGTTACCTCAGGAACTGTAGCTTGCCAGGCTTCTCTGGCCATGGGGTTCTCCAGGCAAGAATATTGGACTGGGTTGCCATTTCCTCCTTCAGGAGATCTTTGCAACCCAGGGATCCAACCTGTGTCTCCTGCAACTCCTGCATTGGCAGGCGGACTTTTTTTTTATTAACTACTGAGCCACCTAGGAAGCCCCTACTGATGTATATTTAGGTTCCAATTTCTTTTCTTAAGGTTTATTATCTCTTCTTTCTCTTCACCTTACTGCATTTTTCTGAATTACGACACGGAAGTAAAATTGATTAACTTGAGAAAAGATAGTGTGTTAGCTTTAGTATGAAAAATAATAAGTAACATAATAAAGAGCTGTATGCTTGTGTGTTGGGCATTCTTCTAAGTGCTTTACACAGTGTCTGTAATCTTCAAAGCAACTCTGTGAGATATTTCAACCCTGTGAAATAATAATATTTCATAATATTAACTGAAATATTATGTGAGAGATACATGTAATGATTGTGATTTTACCAGTGAGAGGCAGCTTGTCAGCTATCACACAGCAAATAATTGGCACAATTAATATCTGTCTAACTCATGGCTCTTTGTTAAAACTTTCCCCCCCCTCAGCACTTTATTCTGAAAAGTTTCTAAGGTGCAACAAATTTGAAGGGATGATAAACATAGTCTTCCTCTTTATTAACCAATTGTTAACATTTGATGTGTCTATTTTATTATACTTTATATGCACATTTTTAATATTAGTTACAGTTTTAAAAAAACTAGTTGAAAATACATTGCAGACATTGTAACACTCCTTAATTCAACATCTACCTCTTAAAAAGGAAAATTTTTAAAAAAACTTTTATATTGAGGTGTAGCTGATGAATGAACAATGTTGTAATAGTTTCAGGTGAACTGGGAAGGAACTCAGCCATATGTATACATGCCATTCTGCTTCAAGCACCCCATCCATAAGAATAAGGAAATTTTTCTACAGTGGTTATCTGTTATAACTACAGTATAACACAATGATTAACAATGATTTCATAATGCCTTCTAATACACAGACCAAATTCAAATTTTCCCGTTTTTTCCAAAATGCCCCTTATAACTTATCCTTGCCTATCTCACTCCCCACACTGTTTTTGAGGATATTTTCACAATGGTTGACTTTTGAAATGTCCTGTCTTGTAGACTGTTCTACATTCTGCACCTTTCTGGTCTTTTTCCTCTTCATTAAATTCAGGTTGAACATTTTTGTCACAAAAACTTTATAGATAATATATATACTTATGTATCACATTGGGATATAGATGATGTCGTTTACTTAGGTTCTTGTTCTTAGCCATTATATTGTATTGTCATGTATTATGCTTCTGAAACATTTTAAACTGGTTAGGCAACACACAGGCAGCAGATATAAGAACATGTATTCTAGTGGTTAACTTAGATCTAGAACATCATTTCACATCTGAAATATTATTACCCCCTCTTGAATTGGAAAGCTCTGGAAATTTAATAACTTCTTTGTGTTGACAACGAGCTGTATTTCCAGGATTGCACGTAAGAGAAAGCTAAGGTTTACGTGTATTAAGCAACTGACTTTCAGATTGTTGTACTCAGTCATGTCTGACTCTTTGTGGCCCCATGAACTGTAGCCTACCAGGCTCCTTTGTCCATGGGATTATCCTGTCAAGAGTACTGGAGTGGGTTACTATTTCCTTCTCTAGCAAAATGCAGTACTTGGGTATAATCTCAAAAACAACAGAATGATCTTGGTTTGTTTCCAAAGCAAATCATTCAACATCAGGGTAATCCAAGTCTTGCCCCAAACTCTGATGCCGAAGAAGCTGAAGTTGACCTGTTCTTTGAAGACTTACAATATCTTCTAGAATTAATACCAGAAAAAAGGATGTCCTTTTCATCATAGGGGATTGGAATGCAAAAGTAGGAAGTCAGGAGATACCAAAATAACAGGCAAGATTGGCCTTGGAGTATAAAATGAAGTAGGGCAAAGGCTAACAGTTTTGTCAAGTAGAATGCACTGGTCATAGCAACCCAAGAGATGACTCTACACGTGGACATCTCCATATGGTCAATACCAAAATCAGATTGATTATGTTCTTCGCACCCAAAGATGGAGAGGCTCTATACAGTCAGCAAAAACAAGACCTGGAGATGACTGTAGCTCAGGTCATAAGCTCTTTATTGCAAAATTCAGACTTAAATTGAAGAAAGTAGGGAAAACCACTAGGCCATCCTGGTATGACCTAAATCAGATATCATATGATTATACAGTAGAATTGACCAATAGATTCAAGGGATTAGTTCTGGTAGAGTGCCTGAAGAACTATGGACAGAAGTTTGTAACATCATTCAAGTGGCAGTGACCAAAACCATCTGAAAGAAAAAGAAATGCACAGAGGCATAGTGGTTGTCTGAGGAAGCTTTACAAATAGCGGAGGAAAGAAGAGAAGTGAAAGGCAAGGGGAAAGGGGAAAGACACACCCTACTGAATGCAGAGTTCCAGAGAATAGCAAGGAAAGATATGCACAACGCAAAGAAATAGGGGAAATCAATAGAAGGGGAAAAACTAGAGATCTCTTCAAGAAAATTGGAGATATCAAGGGAACATTTCATGTTCATGGAAGGATGGGCACGATAAAGGATAGAAATGGTAAAGACCTAACAGAAGCAGAAGAGATGAAGAAGAGATGGCAAGAATACACAGAAAAACTATACAAAAAAGATCTTGATGACCTGAATAACCATGATGGTGTGGTCACTCACCTATACCCAGACATCCTGCAGTGTGAAGTTAAGTGGACCTTAGGTAGCATTACTACCAGTAAAGCTAGTGGAGGTGATGGAATTCCAGCTGAGCTATATAAAATCCTAAAAGAAGATGATGTTAAAGTCATAATCCCTTATACATACATACATGCATATATAAAACATACATATATATACACACACAGTGGAGGTAACAAATAGGTTAAAGAGATTAGATCTGGTAGACAGAGTGCCTGAAGATCAATGGATGGAGGTTTGTAACACTGTACAGGAGATAGCAACCGAAACCATCACTGAGAAAAATTGTAGTAGTAGATGAAAGAAATTGTTCATGTTTGACAGTTGTTGATGCTGAGTGATAGACATACTGGGTTGGAGTTAAGTTTTTTGCCTTCTCAATTTGTCACGTTGTGATAGTTACAAGATGCTCCAGCCTTCGTGTCTGCTCCCAAAGCAGGAAGGATGGTGCAGAAATTTTCTCAGAAGTCTGCCAGTGGTTTTGCACCTATATGTCATTGGTTTGAACCTATCACTGGCTGTCTTCTAAAGAGACTGGGAAAGCAAATTTAGCTTTTTTTAGCCTTTGTTATGGAGGCAGACTTGGGAAAAGGCAGTTGAGAACTGCGTTTTTGTTTGTTTTTGACTGTGCTAGGTCTTTGTTGTGGCGCCCAGTCCTCTCTGGTTATACATAGACTCTCTATCTGGCACACGGTGAGAATTGCTTCTGAGTTAAACTGCGAACAATATCTGAGACAAATGTCAACAAATAAAAACTGTTTTACCTTTAGTTAGTTTTTGACCTCACTTTATTTTCTTGTCAGGTAGCTTGCTGACTGCATTTCCTTACGTAGCTCTCCTCTTGGCTACTGAAATTGTATTTTTGTTCATCAGCGATTTTTATTCCCATTAACATGTGGAGTCCAGATTCTCTGGAATAGTTGGAGATGAAGATGTCTTTTTCTTGGACTTCTGTGGTGTTAACTTTTCCTCCTACTTTTTCTTTCTGTGATTACCCCTTAATTTCTTTCATTGGTGTATCTTTGCTTTACTCATAAGTGTTAGTGTGCGTAAGATTCTGTCCTCAACTCACTTTTTTCCCTGTAACTCCATTCTCTCTTTATTTCGTTAACTCTAGGTGCTGTAGTTGATGCCTGATTTCTAAATATCTCAACACTCATTGTTTTCTCTAATCCAGAAGTTTATTTCCAATTGTTTTGCAAACATTCCTATGTTCCCTTCATTTCAAAAATGTTTATTGTTCTCCATTGCCTTTTACTTAGGTTCAACTTCCTTAACATGACTTCAGGGACCTTCATAGTTTGTCTCTGAGCTGTCTTGCCAGGTTTTCTGCCTCATAAATCCTTTTTGTCATGTCCATGTTGTGGTCACACTGGTTCCTGGAATAGAACATATGTTTGCCTCTAATCCTCCTTTTACGTATTGCCGCAGTGTGAAACCTAACCTGATCCATGCCTCTTGATAACCCTTTTTAAAGGGCTACCTGAAAAGCAACCTTTTCTTTGAATTGTCCCCTGAGATCCTCTCTGAGGAACACTTGGTACAGTATAAGGGGCAGCATTCATGTCTCATTCTGTAGAATGGTGTCCTCCATAGAGTTCTGCAGACTGAGTGAACTGTCTTTAACTCCTACCTAAGCTGGTGTTTTATAGCTCTTCTATACCTCTTAACAGTTTTATGTGTACTTCTTGTTTTACCTAAATAAATGTCAAGGCATTTAAAGTATGGGGAATGTGTTTCTTTTTCCTAAGTTGCCTAAAACTTATTATTTATTGAACTAGACACTCAAAATATTTTACTTTGAAGAAAATATTCATATTTTAACATACTAATAAATCACTTTTTAAAAATCTTTAAATTTTTTTTTAATTAAAATTTTTTTAATTAAAAATTCTTTTTTTCAATTTTTTAAGTTTTTTTTTTCTTTTTCTTTCCTTTTTTTTTTTGCTGCACCGCACAGCTTATGGGATCTTAGTTCCCTAGCTAGAGATTGAACCTGTGCCCTTAGCAGTGAAAGCACGGAGTCCTAACCACTGGACTGCCAGGGACTTCCCTTAACTTTTGTTTTGAACAGTATTCTCTATATATTGCAGGGAAAGATTGAGCCTTATAATCTTAACTGTTCATTAATATTGTTTATTCTCAAAATAGGTATCCTGATTGGAATCCTGAGATCCTCCCATCAAGAAGGTAGTTATTTTTTTTAATAGTGGTATTATTGAAATTTGATTTTCCTTTAAAAGTAAACACGTACTTTTTTTTTTTAAGCACTGTTTTGAATAGAATCTCGTTTTTACCATTTTTATTTTTAAAGAGTAGGGAAATGCAATCATCTCTAGGAATCTTTAGTTACCCCAGTTTACCTGTAATAGCTCCCATCTGTGAACTTTTCTTTTTTAGTCTTTTCTGAAAATACTTTATACTTTTATTCTTATTTTATGTTTGTGGGACCTTAGATTATAAATGGCTTGAAGGCTGAGAATGGGGATTCCCTATTCAGTGTGTATAAATACAAGTAGGGGAGTCAAATATTTGTGGAAGGCATAATCTTTGTGGGAAAATTGTTGAGAAACATTTGTTATTTCCTAAATTCTTTAATATAACTTAATAGTTTCAAAACATAATTGGATATAGTAGTGATATAGGGAAAATGCAAGAAATTGGTGGTAATTATTTGTGAGTAAACAAAACAGGAATGTAAGCAGTTAAAGAGGTGATCATCTGCTTTGATTGATCCTTATTCATTTACAAAACCAAACTGCATCATAACAAGCAGGTTTTTTGTTTTACATAAATACATGGTATTAGAGTTTGGCATTGTTAATATCAGTAGCTTGATTTTAAGAAGGTAAATCTGTCATTGATATAAATTTAAATTTATATAAAATTAATGAATCTTGTGGTTTTTTTTCTTGAACTTTGTAGAAATGAAGGCAACAGAAAAGAAAATGAAACTCCAAGAAGACGATCTCATTCTCCCAGTCCGAGGCATTCTAGGAGATCAAGCTCAAGTCACAGATTTCGTCGATCTCGAAGCCCCGTACGTTGTATGTATAGACCAAGAAGCCGAAGTCCAAGAATTTGCCATCGTTTTATTCCTAGATACAGATCCAGATCCCGTTCGCCGTATCGAATGAGAAATCCTTTTAGAGGTAGTCCAAAATGCTTTCGATCAGCTAGCCCTGAAAGGACCTCAAGGAGATCAGAGAAGTCATCAGGTACGTTTACGTTGGTGAATGATAAGTGCTCACTGTGACTGAACCGTTTCAGGGTTTGTTCATTTGATTTGTTTTTTTAATTTCTGTATTTGCATTAAGCTTGAAATGGTGACTTATTTACTCAAGATATTTTAAATGTTGACATTTTGAGATATTTGGCTTAGCTCTTTCTGAAACTTCTAAGCTTTCTAAGAAATTAAATGTAATTTATTAAATTTTAGAATTTCTGTATGAAATTTGATTCACATTACCAGCTGTTTCTTCTTCCTTTTATTATGTATCATAAGAAATGTGGGAAAGTGTATCTACATACCCAACATCAAAATTAAAAAACCAGGAATATACAGATATCTTAGTTTGCCTTAGTAATTGATTATAGACTTGTCTTCCATGAATTAATTTAAAACATTTTAAAATTGTTCAAATTTTCAGCATGTGTCTTAATGTTGGTTTAGTGACCTTTAAGAAATATTTTTTACATAATTTTTTTCTGAAATCTTTTCAGAGGTCTGTGATATTTTTCCTTTTTCAACTACATATGTCTGAAATTGGATTTTTCTTAAAATATGGTAGCCAATATAGTGTATCCAGCACATTGAATGCAGAATTCTCTAATTAGAGAATTCAGATGTCTTCTTTTAAGCCCAACATTTAAGTGTTCAGGAAAATAATACTCATCTAAATAATTTTTATTTTGAAATTAAAGTTTTTTTGTAAAAACATTATTTATGTTAACACAGCAGTTTATTATTAAATAATATTGTAAAAATTCTATATTAGTTTCTTTTGTGGTAAATATTGATACATTGAATACAAATGCTCTTTGGAGTCCTCAGTTTTTAATAATGTAAGGGATACTGAAATCAAAAGCGTGAGGATATCTGGTATAAGAGAAGCTCACTGAATAAAGGGTCTTCATGCGAATACTTTTTGAGTGAAGAATTAAAGACTAATAATTTTTTTGTATGTATTTGCCACCTGCTTGGCCTAACAGTGGCTCAGTGTGTTAAATATTTGGGCACTTGAAGGGTTATATTATTTTTTTATAAAGTTCTTTTCAATTGACGTAGTATTTGTGTACTTTTAATAGATAGAAAAAAAGCATTAGAAGATGTAATACAACGATCTGGGCATGAGTCAGAATTCAGTAAACAGAAGCATCTTGAAGCAGTTGATAAAGGACCCTCACCAGCACAGAAACTCAAAACCGGCAGTGGGGCAAAGATGTCAGCTAAATCTACAAGCTCTGCAAAGAGTGATTCAAACATAGGAGGACACTGTACTCGCCACAAATCAAAGAGTCTGGAAGGTGACACCTCATCAGAAAGTAAACAGATGGCTGATAAAACTGTTTCTTTGCAACGTAAGGTCAGTAGTTCTTTGTTACTGGAAGTAATTACGTACACTTTTTAATATGACAAAAGGGAAGCAAAGTTCAGAATTTTTAATTTTCATATTTCTGATGAAATTGTGATGTATTTTGATGTGAAATATTTTCTTTATTGATTTCTGTTTGAATACAGGAAAAGTCCAATAATGAAAATTTTAATCAAAATACCAAAAGTGAGAACATTTTGATGGTTTGGTGTTTTTGGCTGACCACACTGATCCGTGTTACAGGTTTTGCTCTCTGGGGAAATGGACATAATCAGTAGTATTAATAAGTTTTTGTAATCTTTGTTGGTAATCTATGAGTGACTATCTGCTGAGAATCATTTTTAATTTGTTTTATGTTTTTTTATAGTATAGTTCAGAAGCTACTTTGTTGCCCAGTGTAGAATACTAGTCTGTTTTCTGGGTACTAATAGGTGTATTTTGTAATATTAACAAATCTTCAAGTGTTTAGGTATACATTTCTCATAACATTGTCTTAACTTTAAACAATTACAGTTCCCTGCCTCCACAGAGCTTATATTTAACAGGATGAACTTACAATATTCAATCTGATATTACAGAATTTTAAAGAAATATTGAGTACAGGGAATTAATTTTGAAAAGGCTAAATTGTTCTGTAACATTCATTTTGTTTCTAGATGGCAGCAGTGGAACTTTAAAAGGTTTTTTTGAGTCAATTTTTAACATAGGTGGTAAACAATAAAGTGTATTCAAATTGTATATATGAATCTATCAGCAAGAACAAGACTGGGAACTGACTGTGGCTCTAATCATGAACTCCTTATTGCCAAATTCAGACTTAAATTGAAGAAAGTAGGGAAAACCCCTAGACCATTCAGGTATGACCTAAATCAAATCCCTTATGATTATAGAGTGGAAGTGAGAAATAGATTTAAGGGGCTAGATCTGATAGAGTGCCTGATGAGCTATGGACGGGAGTTCGTGACATTGTACAGGAGACAGGGGTTAAGACCATCCCCATGGAAAAGAAATGCAAAAAAGCAAAATGGCTGTCTGAGGAGGCCTTACAAATAGCTGAGAAAAGAAGAGAAGCGAAAAGCATAGGAGGAAAGGAAAGATATTCCCATCTGAATGCAGAGTTCCGAAGAATAGCAAGGATAGATAAGAAAGCCTTCCTCAGGGATCAATGCAAAGAAGTAGAGAAAAACAACAGAACGAGAAAGATAGAGATCTCTTCAAGAAAATTAGAGATACCAAGGGAACATTTCATGCAAAGATGGGCTCGATAAAGGACAGAAATGGTATGGACCTAAGAGAAGCAGAAGATATTAAGAAGAGGTGGGAATACACAGAAGAACTGTACATAAAAGATCTTCATGACCTAGATAATCACGATGGTGTGATCACTCACCTAGAGCCAGACATCCTGGAATGTGAAGTCTAATGGGCCTTAGGAAGCATCACTACGAACAAAGTTAGCGGAGGTGATGGAATTCCAGTTGAACTATTTCAAATCCTGAAAGATGACACTGTGAAAGTGCTGCACTTAATATGC